TGCTGAAGATTTCTTTTGCAAAAGTAATGTATATTGTTACTTTGGCAAAAATTTGCGATAGGAGAAATTACTTTTATCGCATATTTCTCGCTCGCGTCTGTTATCCATCGTAAAGAGTTATTTCAAATGAATTTGCGCGGGAATATAATTGTGAAATAAAATTTATTGAAGTATATGGAGCGCGCCCGATTAATCCATGCGTAAATTCGTGTGTATTGTAGGGAAAGTTTAAAGCGAGATAACCGTAATGTTGTTTACTCTTTTAATTAATGACAAATATTGCTTTATCAATAATAGTTCAATTTATTGTAACTTTTTATCGCATCCGCATTCAGAATTAATTGTGACAAACATATGTGCGCGCGATAAATAACGAAGTCGAATTGCGAACTGATTCGATACACCGCCGTCGTAAGAATAAAACTCTAATCGCCATGCTGCACGCTGATAGAAAAATATGTAGTATTTGAAACTATAATTGCATAGTAAAATAATTATAGTCAGGAATGTCACTTTTATAGTAATTATTGCTATAATATTAGTAATAGCAACCATATAGACACACAGTGATGCCAACTATATAAAAAATTTACTATAAAATATAAGCTTTTAACTATTATTCTGTTAAAATATCGAGGTAATGAATAGTAAATTAGTTAATTATTTTTATATAGCGAATACAATCACAATAATAAAAAATTTAACTACATTTATATCATCCACCTCACTAATCACATGGTAAACAAAAGTGAAGTGGTTTGGAATGTCCTCACTAGAGGGACGCGCGGTATAAGACTTTCTCGTAACAAGAAAAGCGCATAGGGTGTTTCTTTGAAAGATGCTTTCTTGTACTATTCTGTACGAGTGCAAAGTGATGTAACCAATGAACATAGTGAACGCAATGTATATAATAAAAAGCGGGGAATATTACTTTTAATATAAATACGATTATTACTATTACATATAGTTATTTGAAATTTTACTTGTAGTTGTTATTGCAATGTTTGCAGTACACCTTACCAAATTAAAAGCTCGTTTTGGTTTATGACAACCATGCCAAAAGTTGCATGGACCAATATTGCGTCTACGAAAACTATAATACATTGTTAGGTCAACCATAACTTACGTAGTTGGAAGAATTCTAAAAATGTAGTTGGTTCCTAAAATGACTATAAATTATAGTGAGATTGTGGTAGCTGCAACCATTTTTTTTCTATCAGTGTATGAGTGCAAAGTGATTAACTAATAAACATAGTGAACGCAACGTATATATAATAAAAAGCGGGGAATATTACTTCCAATATAAATACGATTTATTACTATTGTATCCTGTTGTATAGTTATTACTATATCATGTTTCATCATACTTTTCACTGTTCGTACTTTGACTACACAAAAATCTATTTTTAGCTTACCATAACTATTTCATATGGTTGTGCTAATTAATGTCATACTGATAATGGCTATAAATTTGTGTTCGCTCTGCTATAATTTGCATGTTTAATAAAAGTATAAAAATAAGTTTGGAGCCAAAATTCACTATAAATTATGGTTATTCTAACCATTTTTTTTCTATCAGTGCTGCGGATAATCTTAAATCCATAATTGCTGGGATGAAGCGAAGAAATTATAGCAAGCGCTCGAACAGTATGTCGCCGAGTGCCTCCGCAGAAATATTGAATACCGTGTCGCATGCCTTGCAGTAATTCGAATCGAATGGCATGCCAATACCTATCTATAATACCTATCTCTAGCCGTTGTGTGTCGAAGCACGCGCGCGTCCCGTAATTACGGATTCGCGAAACGCCGGTGCGGCAAGAAGCGGAGCGGGCCATCTGGTGCGCGCGTCGCTCGTCGGAAAAAGGACCGATAGGTAGACGAATTCGGAAGTTGGCCGAAAAGCGTGGCACACTCGAAAGCGGGGCATGGCGCTGCACACGGCGAAAAAGTCGCGGCGGTTGATGCGAATTTAATTCTGTATATACGGGGAACTTCGGCGGAACGGCGTGGAATTCGCCGACGGCGTGGTAAATCGCCGCGGCGAAACTTACGTTGCCGCGAGATTTACGAGCGGCGATCGATTTATCGTCCGACCGGCAGTCGGACGAGCGATTATCGATGCCTTAAATCTGCCGACGCGACCGGCTTGGTTCGCGCGCGCGTTATCGGAAAGCGATCTCGGGTCTCTCCCGCGAACACCAGACTTCCGCTCCATCCCTCCGGCGGAAAATTCTACGGAGATGTTTTTCTTTTTAATAAACTGGCGAAATTGCGCAGGGTGTAGATTTGAAGTAGCGAAACCAGTTCAAATTGTCGCGATCCATTGAACGAGTGTTTCTGTTACACGCGACAGCTTCTGGTTGTATCGAAAAACGGCAATTATATCAATTTTATTTATTTTTTGTATTTTTACGTCCCAGGAGGAGTAAAAGTTAAAAGATAAAAAAGTCGTACATTTTTATGTTATTAATTTTTCGAGAAAAAACATGCGAGAAAAATTCATGATTAAAATCGTGTAATCTAATTTCCCTCGACTTAAAAAATTTGATGTAAAAGTAGCAAATAATATAAAAGGTATAAATATTTTTTCACGAGAGTACATAATTCTCGTATAAAATATATAATAAGATAAGCTAACGAATACATGAATAATGAAAGCGTTAAATTTACCGTGCGACGGTAGATCATTTGTCGCACTATTATATTGAAATTAAATTTAAATAAGAAACAAGAAACTGACCAGCCAGAATTCATTACGGAATCCGTTAAATATTTCACCGATAAACCGATCGGCACGTAAAGCTACTCTCTAAAAGTCAATCGTTGAATTATCATTGAAAACAGTGAATAGTCATTGATCTGCAGTTATAAGTATACTTCTTAAAAATGCAGTGGTATACTTACAACTGTAAATCAGTGACTGTTCACTGTTTTCAGTGATAATCCACCGATTTACTTTTAAAGAGTGATAGCGCATTCGGTTGCTTGCACTAGTGCGCACTGAGTGCACACTAAGGCTTGTTTATAGTCAATTCTTATATTTAACTTTGTCTTAAATACGTGTTCAAAGAGTATTTGGTCAAAAAATGATCTGTGCAAACGTTGTACAGACCATTTTTCCGGATAAGTAATATTGCAAGAGGCATTTAAGATGATCTTTAAACATAAGAATTAACTGGAAACAATAAGGCTTACAGCGAGTTCGACAGCTTGCACTAGTGCGCACCGAGTGCACACCAAGGCATGTTCAGAGTCTACTCTTATATTTATGGTCGTCTCAAGTGCGTGTCCAAAAACTATTTAGCCAAAAAGATGAACTGTACGAATGCTACACAGACCATTTTGCTGGCGAAGAAGTATTTTAAAAAGTATTTAAGACGATCCTTAAATGTAGGGATTGACTGTAAACAAGCCTTGGTGTGCGCACTGGTGCAACCAACCGAATTCGCTATAAGACTCCATAAACGCCGTTGAATTGCGGCAACGAATCAAAAGATTTCAACGCAGCAAGCTCGCGGCGAGCTTCTGATTGGTCGACTCGGATTATCGCACGCGTTTTCGCGGCTCAGCGCATCTATAGAGTCTGAGCTTAATGCTTGGCATATTGCGCGTTGCCGCGTGTCAAAGGTTGTCGTCATTCATACGCCGAGAAGGTAACACAGCGCGTATCATCGCGTTACACCTTGAGACGTAAAGCCGATTATTCCCTAAAATGATTAGCAATTAACATTCCGCGTAATTAATCCCGCAATTAATGACTCGTAAGTGGATCAAGGCAACAGGTATTTGTCGCAGCCGACTGCCGCGATTTAACTCACGCGAAGCAGGAATCGGAGCGACGGCGAGCGTAACAATAAATTATCGTTTTATTGTGCGGTATTTACGAGCGGGCGTATATTCCTTTAACGATATTTGCTCTCGGACTGTATTTTCCGCAGCGCTTTGCATTTTATGATTTAAGCGCGACTCGCGGCCATTCGATTCTAATTTCGGATCAAAGGGCACGAAACAGCGCCGCGAATCGCCAAATCGAGTTGGCGCGACAAAGCGCGAGATATTTGATAACGGGGCCATTCAGCGGGAATCATGGCACTTCGAAACGCGAAAAGAAAGGAACACTCGCCGTACGTTTAGTTACAGTTAAATATTCCGTGGTGACCGGCAACCCCTAGGCCCGGCGCGCGGTGTTGACGTTGGTTTGTGCGGGGCGTACGGCGTGCCGTTGCGTACACAAGGTCACCGCGCTACCATTCGCACGCCGACGCTCGAGTAAACAGGTAACGGCACGAACGGCTCCGCGTATCTTCGTATTGTTGCTCGAAACGCGATATCAAACATTAGCACACCTCGTCGCTACAATAAGCGATCATTTGCACGCGCTTCGTAGGCATATCGAGACGGCGGCTCTTTACCGAGATAAATATTTCGCGCTGTGCAACGTACGAGGGACGCAGAGTTCGGTGATTTTAAACAACGGGCAATCGAATAATTAGTATAACACGTAAAGGAATATTTTATCTTATAATTGGAAAGAATAGTGTCGTGCGCCGTTGGCTCAATACGCGAAGCACCGGATTAAATGAGTCAAAGTAACGAGTCCTCGTGTATCAATCGTCCGTTTAATTAAATCGCGACGCGTTGAATAAAACGTTTGGCATTGATTGACGCGTTAGGGCCTGAGCAGAATGGCTGTCTTATAATCTTAAGACAGTCTTAAGACAATGTTTTATCAATTAGGTTGAATAATTGCTGCGTCGGATTATTCAACCTGCTTGTTAATTAATCACTGGCGATTCAATATTCCAAGTTTTACAATGTTTTATGTTTTAAGCCTTTGTCTTGAGGTAACGTACAATAACTGTCTTATGTCTTAAGAGTACAAGACAGCCATTCTGCTCAGGCCCTCGAGCATCCAGCAACGATTGACCAGTGCTCAGTACCTACTCACTTTTTCAAGTGCACCGATAATCACTGACTCTTCGCCAATGATTCGTTCGCAGGTACGATCTTCAAGCGGTGGAAGTGCTCAGTGTTCTGAAGGGCTTAGGACGGGGAAGCTAACGTGCTCGTCGTCGCCGATTTTAATTGAAGAAACGAACCGTAGCCGGTTCGTCGCGTCGCATTAACTTCGGGAGTGCCGTACAAAGTATCGCGCGATCGTAGCTACGCGGGCGTTTTCGCGAGTGCCGGGGAAGTTCTACGGAATTGACAACTTGGACTGCCCGGGGTGATGAGTGTAATTAATTTTTATATACTATACATAAAATGCCGCGTTGCCCTCATTAAACGAATCGTTTATTCAAATCGTCTTGAGGACAACGACGCGGGGAGTGTCGCGTCGAGAGAATCCTACAAAGCTGACAACCCGGACGGGCCGAGAGGAGGAGGAGGCCTAGGAGAGGCATCAGGCGTCGACGGAATAACTTTGAGGTGAGGATAATTGATTCGTATTATATCTGCGGTAGTATCCGTTCATTCCTCAATTAGTTGAAGCTGCTATTCGCATGATTCAGAGAGTGAGAATTTACTGGCAGGGAAGATTTTTCCTTGTGAAATCCCGTAGGAGGTTATACTTGATGAACAGAATTTTTTCGAAAATTACGTAACTATTTTGCTGAATTTATTAACAAGGTAGTTTTTTACTTGCGAAATCCCGTATACTTAATCAACAAAATATTTTTCCAACTATTTTGTTGAATATCTACTTAATGGATAAATGTAACATTTAATGCGTTTGATAATTATTTTTTGACACGTTAATTACTCCAGGCACTGCATTAATTTGAATTATTATATTTGTACGTTACAGATCTCTCAACGTAGCAGATATTCCGTTGTTGCGCGTCGATCGGTGAGTCATATAATAATTCTTTTATTGAAATAACATCTACGAAAATTATTTTAGTTGTAATATAATGTTTGTGCATGTCAAGCTAAAACGTTGGAATATTAGAAGTAAACGGGACATTTCATAGATCCATCGTCGTAAAATAAATGGGCTAGAAAGGATAACGGAAACTTAATCTTGACAGCATTTTCCATTATTTTTTTATATTTCTCGCGCTATTGTGCTCGAGGATACATGTATGCACACACAGAATCTACAAAGTAGATCAGCTCATCAATGTTCATCGAACTATATCCGGCGCATTATTTATGTTCCGCAGAGATAATATGTTTTTATCGGATAGCGTCTTGATTCAAATTAAGTTTGCGATTTAGAAAAATATATCCTACAAAAATGGGACAGCTTGTATAAAGAGATAAAATTGATTATATACTTTCTCGGTGATGTAATAAACAGAGTGAATAGTCCCTTATTAAGATGGAGCGCGCCGCTATAAGTTCCGTGACCATTTTGATGATTGGTGCGCATTACTTTATTTTTATAATTTGGCAAAATTACTAGAAAAATTGATTCATTATTTTCGCTTTGATAAAAATTCTTAATTAATTTACGCGGAAAACTCTGTAGTTTATTCTTAAACTTAATTACATTTACTTTGTGACGATAGCCCATCAAAATTAATTTACATAGACTGAATGAATTTTCCCAACAATTTCTCACACCTGCGGTTCAACCATCGCCAATTATTATCAACATAAATCAAGGTGTCCCTAGGTTATCGAAATGCTATTACTGTCTCTGGATAATTCTTCGTAAAAACCTCGCGTTACACTTGCGTTGGGGGGGAACGATTAATTTCAAACGAGACCGATTTTTCATCGGTTCTTACACGTCGGCCATCAATTTTCGTGGCCCACTTTGGATTTTCGGGCGAAAACTGAGGAATATCTTCTTTGAGCGGCTCGGGATTGTGAGAATCGCATCAATTAATTATGCATACTGCTGCTTATGCGAATCCGACGTTTGAACTCGAGTTAACGAAAATCCTAAACTAGGACCTCCGAGACGCATGTTTACTCATCTAAATTTACGCGTAGCAGCGCCCGCGTTCATAGATTTCGTATAGTAAGCGCGTTTAAACTTCCGCGCTAGTGCTTCCGTGCATACGCAAGCTTTGAGACAAGCGGAGACAAATGCTAATTACTGCATTCTTGTTTGCCAGAAAACATTCGGGTTGGTTTGAAAAATACAATTCAACGTGACGCGGTTTTAATTTTGGAGGCTCTCCATATCTTCCGGAGAAGTTAAATTGCATGTAAAGTCAATACAGCGCGTTTAATTTACGTTGTAAAAGCAATTTAGCCAACATTAGAAATCAGTATTATAATTAAACACGTTTTTCCCTCACCGATAAAAATGATGTCATAATCGACATTTCGACTTGAGGTTTCTGAAAATTAAATTATAACATCTTGTATACTTTCGGTATTGCGTCGTTAATATTCGTGGAGAATCATTCTTGTAGTATTTAATAATGAAAATATTACTTTCTTACCCTTCTCTCGCTAAATATTTTGTCTAAACGCTTTACTGTCGGCAAAGCCCTTGTACTGTTGAATCTTCAAAGAGTATTAACGATCTGTGATGAAATATAGAACGTAAGATTTTAGTAAGGGTCATTAAAGAGTAACGATATTCCTTAAGTGGGAAAAGCCTTTAGGATCTCGGACAACAACTTGGATAATTCTGAACAACGGCACCGTGCCTTCCGTGCTCGTTAAATCTCACTATCTTATTTAAATCCATTTAATAATCAAGTGGAAATGAAGCAGTGAAAGCAGTTTTTAACTGTACACTGAATAATTTTTACTCTTGCAAATACTTGAAAAGCATAATATAGATTTTGCGAGCGACAACTTAAAATTTTATAATGATAAATTAAATAAATTAGATGTACTGTCATCGAATGTTCATGTTTTCTCTAAACTAAATTCCTCTAAACTTTTTATTCTATATATCTTAAAAAGTTAATATTATTTCCAAAGCATAAAATATTTATCATTTTCAACGCGCTTTGCTCACTTAAACATTGTGGAACGATTATGATATCGATATTTGAAAAGAAGAAAACCTGTCATCAATATCGCGTAAATGTCGCATCGACTTTTAACGGTAAGACAAGAACTTGAGAGCTTCCATTATGAAACCATATTCTTGCATACGAAATACGAACGAGTTCTCCGCAATTATAATAGCAGCGAACATTGTGAATTTTGCGAATGTAAAACATCGTATATGCATTTAGGACGCCAAAAACATGAAACTAAAATTTCTCATTGACGCGAAAACGATTTTGTAACGCAACTCGATAACGTAATGTTAAGTGTTTTTATTAAAATGCTTGTACTATTGTGACAAAAAGCATTTATTGATCAACAATTATAAAATACTCAATTATTTATGTCACTAAGTTAGCAAACAATTGCTATCGATCTTTACGAGTTTTCCAATTTAATTAACGAAAGTATATCTTGTTGGATATTAACAAAATTATAACGTACTGATACAATTCTCATATCAATGCAATAAGAACGATACATTTGCTAATCGTTATCATCGGTCTTTAAGTCTTTCATGAAAATCCGTACGATAAGAAGCGCTGCTGAACCTTCGGGATTAATCGTGCTTAATTAGAGAGCCGGGTAAAAAAGGGGTGTTTTTGTACGCTCGTGTTCACGTGTTTACATCGCCCCGCACTTCCATGTAAGAATTGCTCGATTTTTCTGTCCGTAATCGTAAGTTTCGCGAACGACGGATCCGTTTCTCTCTTTTTTTTTTACAAGCAGTCACAAATCTCGCAACGCGTTAAAGTAACGGCGAGACGAGTGTTTCTAATTTAACCCTCCGTGTAGCGTTTATTTCCGCGGTGTTTTTTTCTAACGATCCTCTATCAAACGTTCTCATTGATAATCGTCATTTATCTCACTTTTCCGCGTCCAATGGATGGCGGCGTAATTAATTGTTTCTATCGCGCGTACATCTATCTGTGTAACGTGCAATATCTGCAGGGCGTAACACGCGCGGTCGATTCACTGATTCAAGATAGCGCCGAATGAATACGCCACTTTTTATATCAGGGCTTGAATAGATTCAATTTGAGATCGCATATTCTACACGGCCGTGGCAGCTGTACATATTTTGCGCCGTGAATGAAGGTGCACGTGAATATACATGCACATAACGTCTGTTCATCCACCGCTCATTCGCGCCGCAGTATCGATTTCGTCAAACTCCCTAAATAATATTCTGTGACCGAAATACGCGTGGAATATAATATACTTCTAATACATGACTCTAGCCTCTAGCCTCATTCCCGCGAAATGCATAGACGGGGTATTCATTGTCAGAAAAATCAATTACAGGTTACGTGTATCGATGAAATTTTCCTTGGTTTCTTCAAGAATTTTCTCGCTTCCTTTCTCGACTTTCGGAAATGATTGCAATTAATGGAGATACCTACTCTCTAAAAGTCAATCAGTGCGTTACAACTGCGAATCGGTGAATATTCGCTGTTCAATGATAATCCACTGATTGACTTTTAGAGAATATGCTGTGAAAACGAGAACAGTGCAGTAGTATGCAAAGTTCTGTATATTTTTTTCTGCTTATAAACAGGCCAGGTGAAAAATTTGTGCGGAATTGTAGTCCGAAGTTACATAAAATAGCTCGCTCGTTTTTAACAAAGCTGCGTGGATTGCTCGCTTCTCACGCGCTTCCTCGTGTTTGATTTACGCCTTCTTACCTATTGCCGATGACAGCCTGGATTTAGTAGTTATTTCAAGCGAATCGACGCGTGTGTACGTGTACGTGAATACTACCTACTAATTACTCGAGCCGGGAAACCTTGCTTGATCCGCATCTCGCAGCAAGATATACCTCGCGCCATGCCGAACGTCAAACCCGCTCCGCCGATCGAAATATCCGGTATTACATCACGGTATTATATCACAGATCGATATGCATATTAACAGATACAGGATGGCCGATTTCATTTCGGTTCCTCGAGCTTTGCACAACCACTTCGCTCTTTCCATATCTCCTGCCGCGTGCGCGGCAGCTGATCGCTTCTGTGTTTGCCGGAGAAAATTAGAAAAGAATAGGAAAGAATTAGAGATATGCGAGGCGCGCGCGGATGAAATTTCCAATGACGTTTTAATCTCGAAGTACGAAAACCCCCCCCGCGCCTGATCTGGTGCGTCAGAGCTATTGAAATATAATTACTCGCGCGAGACGGCGCCGTTAAGCGGAGCACCCTGTATAAGTACGGCGTGTACATATGCGTGTAAACATATAGCTGCAGCCGTACATATGCGCATATATACAGCCTAGGGAGCAGGCGGATTTGGCATTTCCAATTCTGCTCGCATTGTCGAGTCGTAGAAGTGATTCAAAGCCACGGAGAACACGCTGCCGTGTACGATCGCGATTCGCGGAATCCGCATTGTCGTGTACGTGCACGTGAGAGATCGTCGGGTCTTTCGTCGCGATACGCGAGGGCGGACTTTATAAATTCACGTGTCACTTTGGCGAACGCGTGACGCGCGGATTTCCGATTCTGCCGCATACCTTTGTTTGTTCCCGCCCCTCCCTCCCCTCCCCGTCGAATGGAAAAATGCAAAGATCTTAAATTTAGTCTTGGCTCTCGCTCATTGGTGCGTCCCTCCCTATTGCCGTAACAAATTCTTATAGTTTTTTTTTTACCGTATTATTTGTCGAGTCTTCTCGCCTTCGGCGTAAAGCCCTTAATACTTGTTAAAGCGTTCTTCATTGCGAAAGAGTTAATAAGCAATAGATTTTCTCGCAGAATTTTGTTTTCGTCACGTCGCCACAAAGATCAAGACTGTTGTCTGTTTAATCTTAAATAGCATCAACCTTATCTTGAGATTTGTATATTATACAAACGTTAGAATTATTTGTATTTTGCCAATTTTTTAAGAGCTCGT